AAAAGTGTACTTCTATTAGCCCAGGTAATTAATTATTTACTTATTACGGTTGTAACTGGACGTATGTACAGTCCGTGGCTTGGCAATCAAATAACAGTATTTAAATAGGATAGGCTACTGTTATCAACTTTTGAAATTACTGGATTGTTACCAAATTACTGTTTCACAAAATACAGATTCCATTTTCAACCGAGCCATTAAAATGAGGATTTGCCGAACAATTATTAATATTACAGAATAGTATTTAATGCTATACAACTTTTCACATTTCATAAATTATATGTTAGTTTTGCTATGGTCAAAGGTCCAAATTCAAAAATGTTCTTTTCATTTGGTTTTTATGTAGTCATTTGCTAGAATCATTGACTTTATATCAAGTCAATGCTAGAATACTGTAGATGGCTTGTTAAGACCATAACGCAAGCATTTTTCAAATCGTTTACCCGTTTAACCAAATATTCCAAAAGATAAAAATTATTTGGTGCAAGACAAATAAACAACCCGATCACCTATCTATAACCTACACTTTACCTCCCTAATCCAACCTTACTTTAAAACACTTAATGTAGTCACGAATACTCATAAACCCCGACCTACCTTCACCTACCACCTACCACATGCCTAAATTAGATCAGTGTTCAATCTGCGTTTTAAGTGTAATAACTTACTGCACCGTCGATGTAATTCAACATAATATAACCTGTGAGGTATTATCGGATTAAATATCGATTTCGATGCGGTTAGATATATCGCTTATTTTTTTATCAGAATTTATTTTACAATCGGTTCAAATATGAGGACAATAAGTAAAACATATATCAAAACAATGTCAGGAAACATTAAACAAGCACCTGTTCATCAACAAGCCTTGCCAAAAATTGGAACAATCATTTAAATATTTACAGAAATCTGTAGCTTAGGTCCAGCACATGCACAACACTTTTTAATCTGGTAATGCACTGACTATTGTCCAGCAGATTAACAGCAAGACTGTTCGAAATCCTGATTTCTAACATTGGCTGTTTCTAATCAGCCGGCAACACAAATAGGTTCCGAGGAAAGTAGTCACAGGTCCGTATCCCTCCGCTCCTTGTTAAATATTGGAAATTTTAAGTTTGATTTAAATTGCATTAGCATTATCTAATTGAAATTTGTTTGTTTAAAAACCATCTCACTATTAGTCTAAAATTTTGTTAAGTTTGGCTGAAATGCGTTCAGCCGTTATTGAGTGATGTTTCTCTATTTGTTGCATTGAAGTTGATCCCAAAGAGCTTCGCTCGCTCCGCATTGACAGTAGCTGCTTAAATAGTATTTTCTCTTTGTACCATTTTTTACAGCCAAAATGTCGTGTTATTTTCAATAATGTTAACAAACCAGTGCGCTAAAGTCCGTAATATAGGCAGGTGCAAATAATTTGTCAAGGTGGGTACCATTTTAGACAAAGTTTCTATGTTTGGATTTTATAAGACACGATAAGAGCAGATATTTCTACATAAATATTTGATATGTGTAGTATAATATGATAAAATATAGGCAAAAGTGGTGAAAAAGGCAGACACCAACCCGTGCAAGTGATATAAGATAGTTCAATAAGAAATAATTTAAGAATTGCTGTGATAAAAGGACTTTCCACTGATTTTGTAATGGGAGGTTATATTGCAAAACATGACATGATAAAGAAGAAAATCAATTTTAAAATCTGAAAATAACATTGCAAATACTTATTTGGTAGAATTCAGTAACTCCCAATAAATGTGTGTTGTTTGAAATACAATTTAAAAATGAAAAGCTGTTTCATTAAAAAGTATTATTAACATGGCCAAAATGTAAACAGCTCTGTGGAGGGATCTTTAAAGGCTTCTGGGGCAGAGTCCTAAGGGATTTTGATTAGTCTTTCTTTTGATACCTAACTCATCTACAGACCAAGACGTTTCTTTGGACACCCCTACCAAGTTTGGGTCTCTAAATCCAACGTACAAAAATAGTATATTTCGTACCTAGGGCCGAAAGTGAGGTTTTGCCGACTCGAGATCGGGTTTTTAGTTCGAGACGAATTCGAGAACCTTAAACGATCGAGAGCTGCAAACCCATTTTGGCTCGTGGTACGAACACTATTATTCACCTAAGTATGTTTTGCAATATAACGTCCCTCTTATTTATGTGAAATATTTTGAGGAATCAGCAAAATCAAAAATAACAATAAATAGTTGTCTAGGCAGCTGTGACAAAAAACAAGTCTATTGCAATGCCATGGATACAGCTTGTGCATTTAATATACATTAATGTTTTAAGTAAATAGGCGAACAAGTGTTTTTGCGGCCCTAGGGATGTAAACCCCTGCTCGGTCCCCATATGACGATGACAGCTGGCATGGCCAGCAAAACGTAACTTTCAGCCACCAATATAAACCAGCTAAATGTATGTAAAACAGCTAAAAACATCATAGTGAGGTGAAAAATTCGTTACGCATACTTTTACATTACCATGAATTAATTATATGCATACAGAAAAAACGGAGTCATACTTATTGCGTATTTTAATGTAAACTAGTCAGTGGCTTGTAGGGACATAGTCCCTAAAAAGCTTAAACGGAAAAGGAATTATTGTTGGAATATTTAAACAAACTCAGAATCAAATTATCTATATGTCAGGATAGGCCTAGATATCCCACAACAACATATCTTTTGTGCAAAAAAACAAAACAGTTTGTTGTTTGTCTTTGTTTGCTTTTGTTGATAACGTTATGTTCAATAAAGAATTTGAATGATTCCAGAGGTTTAACTGCTAAAGGCAGCAAACATGTTTATGAATAAATGTTGGTTTATTAAGGTAGCTTTGGTTTTTTGGTTAATGCTGATAACAAGGCTTCCCCGATTGAAATACAGTATTGGAAATTGTCTTCGTCAAATAAGAAAAGGCAAAAAATGGTGTGTTGAGATACCCTACCCAGTTATTATTTCTAAGTCTATGCTCATTTTGTAAAGGTTTAACAAAATTATTCTTAAGTAAAGGCATCCCATTGACAGAACTTGGACCTAAATATGTTTGTGATCAACATTAAAAAACCACTATTAGCCTAGTGTAAGTATATGTGGTGTTAATCCTCCTAAAGGTGCGATTGATTTACATATTCTACCAAAAAAGGGCCTAGTCAACGTCTAATTACTAACTATTTTGCGGCTAGTTAGGGTTTCATTACCCAGTTATCGAAACTAATCACGACATAAATATTTTTGGTTCGTTTAAATACCTGTACGAACCTACTTCATCTCTATTCCCAAATTGTTTTCTAAGTTGGAATAAATCCACTAAATTGGAATAAATCTTTTACATATGTTTTGAAATAAAAACAAAGAAGATCTTCTTTTAATCTTGAATCGTTTCTTAAATCTTGAAAACAATTTATTTCAACTTTGACATAACTAAAAAGTCTTGATTATTAAAGGTAACGTTATCCCTTTATATAGTTGGTTTTATATAGTATACATTACATTGCAGAATTGACTGGCAAATGAGTAATCCAAATGTAAGCTTACTTGCTAATGATAAAATCACAATCAGCTGGATTGAAGTAAACAAAAATCAGCAGTAAATGCCTTCTAATGCTATTCTTATGGAGAACATTGTACGTTATATCTAATTTTGTGTTAAGATTTTGGGAATTTAACTATTTTTCCCGCCGTCACGGGATAAAGACCTTTAATTTGAGCCCTCTCACGTCGTTCTACGACTTTCCAGTCGCCCACAATTTTGACGCAAAGAATCGGCTTACGTAATTAATATATAGATAGAATAGATTTCTTGTATATTCCCATGAAACTGATAATTTACCCAGCACATTAAGGCCTTTATTCCAAGTATCTCAGTTCGTAAACCATACATACAATGTGACGATAAAATATCAACAAAATAGCATGTAGTTTTATGTAATCCTCACGACATTTCATTTGGTCCATTGACTTTAAATCCAATAATTGTAAAAATTATTGGAGCTTTAAAAAAAACTTCATATAAAATCCTTACACTAATAAAAGACGACGTCATGAGCGCGGGAAATGAGCTACAGCGGCTAGGGCATAGCCACATGAATACAGAACGGAATGAAGGAACTAGAACGGAGAACTGGCAACAGCGCACGCGAGAAGTAGGGGGGGCGCACACACCGCTCAAGCACTACAACGCATTAGTGGCATCCTGTCCACACACTGTTGATATATACCGATTTGTGGCATGGTGCCACAATTTAAAAACTGGAATGTTAGATGTTAAAATGGAGTGTTCATTAAAAATATCGATGCAGACATGTTTCTACCACCTTCCTTCATCCACTGGTGGCCGCAGGTTGAAAGATGCCACAATTAGGTGTTTGCGAGTATTCGGTAAAACCCCGTACGTCTGTATGTGTGTGTGTGTGTGTGTGTGTATACTGATAAGGATATATTTATAATCTTTTCTTTCTTTAAAGAAGTTTAATTTATTTAATATATATAACTAGCAATTTATGTATCGACACTAATATCAAAATGTAGTAAAATAAAATATGTCTTCCAACACTCGTTAAGATATTTATACTATACTAAAAACATTTACAAGAAGGAAAATATATGTTTTAAAGTTTGTACAAAATTGAACAATAGGCCAGTCACACCAGTATTCATGAAACCCAATCATAGTCCAGTCTCCTATAGGGCCTGATGAAGACAGGTGTCATTGGACATATATTGTAAGATCCTTTAATTCATTGTATAATTTGTAATTACTGTATATCAAATAGCGTTAAAAGATGTTTTTTAGTGTATTTTATTGCAGCTCCCTGTATGGCATGGTTTATAACTTGTCCCTAAATTGAAATTCCAATTCTGAGTTTTGATTGTATTTTCCTCACTTGGCTTCATGTAAGCAACCTCAGATACTAGTAATAGTAGAAAACTATTGTCAACCATTTTCTGTGATAAAATAACATTAATGCTGATTGTTCACCTTTGTTTGTTGTGATGCAGGAGGCGAGATTGGTGGCAGAGCTAGCGGCACAGTTGACGTTGGTGCGCACTGATCTATCTGGCGTGTCACTAGATGCTGATAGACAGAGAGAAGAAGCGATGGCCACTAAGCAGCTGGCAGAGACCCTGCAGGATAGGCTGAACACTGCGGAGACAAAGATAACCGTGGTATGTGAATCTGCTCTGATATTATAAAATTAAACAAACTTTCATGATATATACCACGACTACACAGTTAAGTTTGACGAATTTAAGAATTATTGAGCCTTGAGTCACCAACAGAGTGCGCTGAAGTGGAGTAATCATTTCTTTCAAATCTTTTTAATCCTCATCACCAACACAATCTTTTTTTAAATGCCAAATAGAAAAGACTACTTATTGTAAACTACAGCAATTTTATGGCCTATATTTTAATAAAAAAACTCAGGGAGTAAATATAATTTTAGACTGTAGCACACTCTGTGATTGGCTCATTTTAGACTGTAGCACATTCTGTGGTTGACTCTATTTAGACTGTAGCAAATTCTGTGATTGGCTCATTTTAGACTATAGCACATTCTGTGATTGACTCGTTTTACACTGTAGCACACTCTGTGGTTGGCTTGTTTTAGACTGTAGCACATTCTGTGATTGGCTTATTTTAGACTGTAGCACACTCTGTGATTAGATCATTTTAGACTGTAGCACACTCTGTGATTAGATCATTTTAGACTGTAGCACACTCTGTGATTGGCTCATTTTAGACTATAGCACATTCTGTGATTGACTCGTTTTACACTGTAGCACACTCTGTGGTTGGCTTGTTTTAGACTGTAGCACATTCTGTGATTGGCTTATTTTAGACTGTAGCACACTCTGTGATTAGATCATTTTAGACTGTAGCACACTCTGTGATTGGCTCATTTTAGACCATAGCACATTCTGTGATTAGATCATTTTAGACTGTAGCACACTCTGTGATTAGATCATTTTAGACTGTAGCACACTCTGTGATTGGCTCATTTTAGACTATAGCACATTCTGTGATTAGATCATTTTAGACTGTAGCACACTCTGTGATTAGATCATTTTAGACTATAGCACATTCTGTGATTGACTCGTTTTACACTGTAGCACACTCTGTGGTTGGCTTGTTTTAGACTGTAGCACATTCTGTGATTGGCTTATTTTAGACTGTAGCACATTCTGTGATTAGATCATTTTAGACTGTAGCACACTCTGTGATTGGCTCATTTTAGACTATAGCACATTCTGTGATTGGATCATTTTAGACTGTAGCACACTCTATGATTGGATCATTTTAGACTATAGCACACTCTGTGATTGGCTCATTTTAGACTGTAGCAGCACACTCTGTGGTTAGATCATTTTAGACTGTAGCACACTCTGTGATTGGCTCATTTTAGACTGTAGCACATTCTGTGATTGGCTCATTTTAGACTGTAGCAGATCTAATTTTGAGTGGAGAGCTACTTTATTTAATTCTTATGTTGTTGTAGGTAACACAAGAGAATGAAGAGCTGGTTCAGATGGTGAACTTAGCAAGAGAAACACAATGTGAGCTGGCTACTGAACTGGCAGATCTTAAAGAGAGGTAAACTACCTATCAATACGCACCATGGTGTGATACATCAGGTGCAGGTTTTTATTGAATTTTTAGGGATGGTTGTAAATTAAGGTCTCTATCAAGCACCTGTACAAAGAAGCTAGTTCAAAACTCAGACCAACGTTGTATTCTTTACTTCATTCACCCCCATTCTAATTGGTTCCCACCTCTGTGAGATCATTAGTCTCGTCATACTCTTGAATTGGAACTAATAGGCAGGAACATCAGTTTTCTTTCAAAACAACTATTAACCGAGTGTTATTTGTCGATGCGTCGACACATAACACACTTTGTGTAGTGTTTTGTGTCGATGCATCGACTCACAAACACTGTTTACGGCGAAGGCTCTATGACTGACAAAATCGGATTGAACTGGATCAAGTTAGGTATCGTTTTATTTGTCAGATTCAGAGCTTTCTCCGGAGGTCTGTTTTTAAGCGCTTTTCATTTTAGTTCCGAAAATATTGTAGCAGACAGCTGACGTGCGTATTTGTAAACAGCTTGGTTAACCTCGCACCGATGACTGATGTGTTTTATTACGTTTATCATTGTTTTAGTGTTAAAAATCAAAAGTAGTGATATACGTGGTGTATTATAAGAAGATTTAAGTGATTTTGAAGAGCTGGTTGATGATCCTGAAGAAGTAGGTAGTGATATTGATGTAAATTATCAGCCAGATTCCTAGCTATGGTTAGGCTATGCATTCTTAGCTAAACGCTATGTACTGAAATCTGTTTCTTGCCCATAACTTATTTATTTGCAAATCTACTTCCTTATATTATTATATATTTGTAATCCTCATAAAATTTAGAACAAATTGGCTATTTTCAAATATTTATAGGCCCATAATTTATACAATTTCATTGAGCGCGAACTTATTTTTTTTTTTTAAATTTTCCAAAATATTTTTTACCTAAAAATTTTTTTGAAACAAATGTTCCTTATGTTTTATAGATAATATTGAAGCCCATGATTTTCCAAACAAAATTGTATATAGAACAGTATAATTAACATTGTTTTCAAGCTTCTCAGATCCGTTTTAATAAAACCTTGCAAATGAGCAAAAAATAGGCAGACATTAAGGCCAAAACAAGGGACACTCGGAGGGTTAATACTATGTCCAGACTTGTCATCCCATTGGGATGGGAATAGGGGTCTCAATCCTGGGCCTTCAATCCAATCCCGGGATTTCGGGATTCGTCTCAGCTAGAGGTGTGCGGATAGTGAAATTTCATTTCGGATCGGATTCGGATCGGATAGTTGAGGCTCGGTTCGGATATTGGGAGGTTCGGATTCGGATATTTTCGGATTCGGATAGTTCGGCGCGGTTAATAATAAGCTGCATATGTATTTTTAACCTACAAAACAATGTAAAGCTGTGTAAATAAACTTAAATGACGATTTTGAACTATAGAATTTCAAATTAGCCAAGTCCACAGTTTTCTCTCTCTTGAAAATCACAATTCACAACATTTATTTTCAAAAGTTGGTTGCTTGAATTAAGTACACTAGCAGCCGAAATCTTCACAAACACCTTAGCTCAGCAGGACTGGTGTCAAACGTTTGGGCTTGTTTACTTGAGGTTATGATTTATCTTGTTTCCTGGTTCTCACAAGCCAAGGAGTTCGATCTCAAGTTTATTTTCACATTGTATTTCCTTACGTTTTTGGAACGGATTATTGGGCTTAAGTGGCATTTTGTGGGTTTGCCAAGTGTAGAATCACTAATGCACTAAATTGGCTCTAGCTCACGATTTGATGTTGGGCAATTAGACTTTATAACTGTGTAAAAGGTGTGTATCCCTGAATTTATAAATTGCATTCTACACATATTCACTGCCAAACATAATTCAGTAGAACCTTGATGAACCGAGAATTACACTAGCCTAAACATAACTTCATTACCCCAAGTAAAATACCAAGATAATCTTTATAATTGTATTTGAATCGTATAATCTTAGTTTGTTAAAAATAGATTGTATGTTCAACAATAATTGCAGTCCATTATTGTTAAGCAGTATGGTCCCAAATTATTGTTTTTGATTTTGAAACATCACAGTTCATTTGACAAAATTATAATTGAAGCAGCCCAATGTCAAGTCACGCGCTTGTGCAATAGTTTGTTTACAAGCTTTCTCCAGACCACGGGGGAGGGGAGGGGAGGGTCTGATAAGCCGTCTATTGTTCACCCCCAAGAAGGTCCGACCCTCATTAGTGCCGCTCGGCTGCACTCAAGTGTTTTACCCCCTGCTGTGCGCTATGTCATAAAAGCTGATGACGTTGAATGCGTGATAAGGGAAACCCAAGAAATAGAAGAACAAAGAGAAAGAATAATGACGTTGTTATCTTTATTCCCTTTTTACAATTTCCGTTATTTTTTGTTATCTTTATGTAAGATTTTATGATTTTGTTTTATAGGTTTATAAAATAATTCTTTTTAACTACGGGAATATCAATTTATAATTTATCAACGTGCTTCTCTTCTGAAACAGCAATACCGGATGCATAATAAAGGTCAATGACCTAAAATATCACGATTGTGCAATATTGTATTTTGATGTTGAAATTAAAATCACGACAAAAGTTTGTATATATATCCATGGTCCCTATCGTTTAATCATTTAATATGTACACAATAAATGCTAAATAATCGTGGTTAGTTCTAACTTTATTTTTTATTATTCAAAGTTTCTACACAGTAAGACAATCCAAAGTCAAACCGGGCAATGAATGCCCAAAAAACAACGTACCTATCTTGTCCTCTGATTGGAATACCACTCGCCGGCCAGTCCTTTCGGTTTAGGGAAGTAGTGCAAGTCTATATATAGCTTCAAGGTCTTACCCACCCCTTCCCCCTCCGGTCCTACTTGACTCACTACCCGCGCTCCTTTCGAGGTTATTGCCCAACCCCTCCCACCCTTCTATTGTGTTGCCTTTCTATTGTTTATATTCTGACTTTTTTTCGGGAAACATTTAATCTATTGTTTAAGTAACATCACAGTAGTAGGCTAGATTTTTCTACTTTGAAACAGTACTGTAAAAAAACTATTACGCAGCGCCCCTAGTATCAGGAGCAAGACAAGTACGAGTTGACTTTCATTTGACCATGGTAGTTCTTTTCTGCTTTATGTCTGTTCGTTCCAGACCAATCTAATCGTAAAGCAAAACAGCCGATAACGACTAAACTAGTTATCAGTATTGCATCATACGGCTTCTTTGCCGTTTGCTGTTAGGTCGTTGGAAACGTATTGCTGTAATTTTGTCCTGGGAAACTAATGGTGGTTATGGAGGTTTTCTGTCCAAAACGTCAAAATATATTGTCTATCCGAAAAAGTCGGATATATAACGGATAGTGTCGGATATCGAATTTGGGCTCGGTTCGGATACGGATATCTGAACCGAACCGAATCCGACCCGATTTTTCGGATATCCGCACACCTCTAGTCTCAGCCGATCCTGGGATCCCGGGATCAATCCCAGGATTACCTATATCATATGATTTTAAACTTTTTTGCCATTTTAAATGAGCGAGAAGTCCCCTCGTTGAGTACTTTCATGTTTTTAACTGGCCTTAGAAGTGTTACACTGCACAATTTTGCCGGAACTTTTATCACCCGTCTTTCTTATTTACAGTGTATAAATGTTGATATGTCACTCTAGAATATAATAAATACATTTAAAAAATCACGAGCAACCACACTCGCACGTATCCGATACGTCACGCTAATAGATGGATTAAAGATAGCTAAGATACAAAGATAAAATGGGAAGAATCATGAGTAGCAGCGTAAAAATGTTATTTTGACTGACAACTCAGAGTTCTTGTAAGTACTTGATTACAACAATAATTGTCGGGATAAAATAATGGATTTGGGACTGCTAATAGGTTTTTTTACATCACTACCCTAGTAATAAGTATAAAGATCGTAAAAAAACATCATCTGATCAGCCTTTTACAAGCTCGGAACTACTATAGACTACAATAGCACCGTGATATGGGGTTTGTAATTAACTAATTAACTGGAAATTAGACCAATTCATATATACCAAGGCAACAAGACTACAAGATCGCGCCACTCATCCTACACTCATCTCCATTCATACTTGGCTTAAAATACCTACTTTGTATGGTCACCATTTCATTGGAAAGTATTAAATTGTTTAAGTGTTACTTTGTTACAAAAGTTTTGATTTTTTTACTTCAAAACCATACATACAAAAGATTTAATTCTTGCACCATATTATGTGGATGTATGTTATCTATAACTTGTGCATGTTAAAAATTTTTTAGATGTTGGGCCTATAGATTAAAAAAATATTGTTATGCCTATTCAAAGTAGTCCCGTGGATGGGGCTTCTATGAACATAAACTTTAACCTCTTATATCTCTGGCACTGTTAAACCTAGGGGCTTCTTTGATATACCATAAAAAACTGGGGTTTCAATGAACAAATACAAAAAATATTGAAAAATATTAATTATTAAAATTTTTTCTAAGTAAAAACTGAAACAACTCAGTGAAAAATGTATGATTTAGGTAGGTACTCCTCCATTAGTATCTTAGTCATATTTAACACGTAAAAATAAATAAACATTTACATACGACACAAAACACGTTACGGACACGAAACATTTACTGATCAGTTACTGATTCAGTTGCCCACAATGATCAATGAAGTTACCGGTACCTTCTTGTGTTCCTGTCTCTTTAGTCTACTTGTGAATGTTCATAAAACAGTTCTTGCATTAAGTAAGGCTTATCGGGGCACATATTGCAGAATGTTGTTACCTTTTCAACTTCTTTGCTGCCTGCCGTCCTCCTTCATTCATCACTCTTTTGTAACACAATTTACAGTCATTTCTTGATCGCCTTCTGTTTTTCCTTCCCCAACGAATGTCTCAGACTCGAATAAGTAGTGATGGGCAGTTTGTCGTACGGGTTCTACAGCAGCATCTTGAATATCCAGGAGAGCATACACTATTTTTTCCCTGAATGAAGTGATAGAGTCAAGTTTTTTTTTACCGTTAGTACCACTTACATTATCCTTACAAGCAAGCCAGGCATTTACCATGGCAGTACCTAGGAGCAGTTCTTCTGCAATTTTGTAGTACTAACACATCGATTTACGGACGGCAGTGATAATTGATGCCATTTGGTCAGACAAATCGATTCCCATTTTTGCCTTGTTATATTGCACTAAGCTTATGGGCTTCAGTATGGAGTTACCCTGTCTGTTATTTTCCTGTGTCTTTAAAACCGGCTGTAGCAAGTTTATGCGGAAAAAGTGTTGTATAGCCAACTTCGCAAAGTAAAATTACCTTCAGCAGGCCTATTCGACGTGTTTCCCGATCAGGTCAGTAGCTATTTATTTTAGTGATTTTTTGCAGAAAAATTGTAGTGCTGACCCGATTGGTCAAAAACTACCCCCACCCCTAAATATAATAATTTTGATTCAAAACATCATATATTAACCCATAAAAGTAAATAGAAACAATATTAGTGAAATCTATTCTACATAAAATAAAGTTTGGCAATACTGTGAAGAGGCTGAATATCAAGGTGGCAGTTAACGTGACCTTAAATTACCTTAGACCTTAAATTCCTGACAGCTTTTGTATTTACGTTCAAAGGTTTGAATTGCAATGGATTTGATAGAAAACGTTTCTTTTAGGTACACTGAAGTGGTCAACCTCCTACAAGAAGCTCAGGAAACTTTACGTAAGCAGCGCAAGAAGAGTCAACCACAGGTACAAAACAAAGGCTGTAAATCCTTGCTTTGATATTTCTTTGAAATAGTGTTATCAACAAAGAATGAAAATGTTTTTCTATAAGCTTTACCCTGTTTTAGCGAATTTCCCTATAGGGAAGTAGCTATTACCGTAGGTCTCATGGTAAGACCTAGGCCCGGGACCGATTTACTTTTTCATTTTTATGTCCCCAGAGGCCAAAAACGCCATTCGTTCAAATTTTTATATATGTACTAGCTGACCCGGCGAACTTCGTATCGCCTAAGTTATAGGTTTCCCCTAAGACAGACCGATGGAAAGAAAGTACCGTTACGTTTAATTTTCAAGATGATCTCGTTCGCATCGCTCAATCACGTCCTGGTTGAAGTTCGTTCGCTACGCTCACTCACCTTTGGGTTGGAGCTCGTTCGCTACGCTCACTCACCTTTAGGTTGGAGCTCGTTCGCTGCGCTCACTTGCCTTCAGGTTAGCTCGTTCGCTACGCTCACTCGCCTCCAGGTTGAAGTTCGTTCGCTACGCTCACTCACCTTTTGGTTGCAAATTAGCTGTTGTCATAAATGTAAAAGAAATAATAGTGCTGCACCCTGTTGGTAATCCTTGTAACTTTAATGCTATTTAATTGAAACAGCTGTTAAGATTCATTAATTCCATTTCTCATAAGGTTAACATGGGAAACTCCAGAGCCACTGGGGCGGAGCCCTTTTAAGAATTTCGAAACGGGAAATAGTTTACTTCCTATTCGCATACCTACAGAATTTACACACCAAATTTCATAACGATCGGTGAAGTCGTTCCGGAGGAGTTTGCAGACAAACACTGTGACACGAGAATTTTATATATTAGATATTATATATATGTGTCCATCCAGACGATAACTTGAGAAATTTTTGACCGATTTTGATAAAATTCGGTTTGAAGGTGTAAGACGGGATAAACTTGAATGAGTTTGTGAACCAGCATGATCGGACCATGAGAACGGAGTTTAATGCGGGGAGGGGAGGGGTTATGAGGTAAAAATGGGTTTTTTCCATTTTTTGCCCTTTAAAATGAAAAAAACCTTTTTAAAGAGCTTAGAAAAAACAAATCATTTAGTATATCAAAGTGTTTTTGTACGGTGATTGGTTACGGAGAAAATTAAAATAATTTAATTTAAAATTCCCATTCTTAAGGAGAATATTGTAAAATGTTGTAGTTGGCTTGTTTATGGATATATTTTGCTTAAACTTGGAGGATTTATTTATTTCATACTAAACTATTGATATTTTAATAAAAAACAAACTTTTTTTAATTTCCCTGTAGCAGCTAACCTAGGTACTCGTTAAACATAAATGTTAATTTAATAGATTAATTGAAAATCAATCCAGGCAAATGGAAATTCGCTTAGTCGGCAGGTTTGCTGCAGCGGGGGTACTTGATACCATTCACCTTCAGCTGATTAGAGATTTATGTAGGTATATAGTTGATTTCTAAAGAGAAGGCAAATCTTTACATAAATAAACTTTTATCTGGATAAACTATTGCTGTTTTCAGTTCTATGAATGTTTATATGTAATTATGGTACCAGGCGCGTGGAGGACTGCTATTCCCTTCTCTGCATTCGTCTGTATCTACCCACAACCCTGACTCCTTGGCCTCAGAACTCGAGTGTTCCTTGTTCTCCGAACTCAGCCTTGATTCTGGAATTGGTGCCAGCAATACCAACCTGTAAGCTCAATTAAATTGCTGCTACAATATATTCATTTCAATTAGTGATGGGTCGGTACCTCTTTTTCTATGTCGGTTCCGGTACAGGTTCCTAACCAAAATCGATTCTCGGTTCTCGGTTCTCGGATCCGGGACCATTGGTACCTCACTTTAAATTAGGCTATTTAATTTTTTTTTTCAAAACAAAATATACAGTACCTACCTAGGCCTATTTCAATTTTTTTAAATGATTATTTTTTTATTAGTGTAGGTTGGTTATAATAGATTAAGAAAATTAAACTTAGGCCTATTTGTACAAACAACACTTTGACAACCAAACACATTCAAATCGAAACAATATATACCATACCAGAAGTGTTAAATATTTGTTGAAATGATTCATTATTAAACCAATAAATTTTACATAAGCTACCTTGGAAAGAAAAGGGGCTCTGGAAATTTGTTAAACTAAGTTTTAACTACCTGTTAAGTTCTAGCTAAATATTTAGAAGGAAGTCATTTTATACCTAAAGCCTGCATTAAGTTAATTTTAGGCTCCATTATTAAGGGAAATTTCGAACAAATGTATTTATGGAAAAGACGTTTTGAACAAAACTTTTTAGAAAATAGGCCTAAGTACATATTTATTTGAGGTTACAGTTTAAAGTGCAGGCTTGTTGAAAAAATATTTAACAAAGGCCTAGTGCCTGTACCGGTATTGTGGGTTCAGGTGAAAAGTGCTTTAAGACCCCTCTCCACCTCTATAATTAAGCCTATTAAATAATATATTTTATTTTGCAACTGTGTTGTTTGCTTCATCAGTTTTAAAATCATTCCAAACTTGGGAAGCCATTATCAAGAATTTATCACAAATTAGTATATAAAAACAACAACTTAAGGTAGGCCTACTTCTACATTCTTGTAAGTAATAAACTAATCCACTTTCATTTATTTCTAAACAAGTCAAGAAATTTTGGAAGAAATTCAATTTGGAAAATCAAGTTCTATATTTAATATCTTTAACAGCCATACAATTTTCTATTAACACTTTAAGAAACCACCTATATAACAATAATGATAATTAGGTACAAACAAACTTGTAAAATTTCATGTCATATTATTCTATTTTCTACAGCAGACTACAATGTGTAGTAAGATTTAAATTATTGAAAAAATTTGAATTTATATATACAGAGAAAACAAGTTTAATTATTCACGTCAACATATAAATTTTATTTAAGAAATCCGACGAAAACAAATGCCCATTCTTCAATTTTGAAGAAACTAGACGGATGACGATAAACTACATTTAAACTTTCCCACCTCGTTCGAGAAAGAGAAAGACAAAATAAAAATTAAGTACGAACCACCGAACATACAAACAATAACAAATAAAAGCCCTTTTTGGTTTGCTGAATGAAGGCTTGGCTGTTTGTCATGGAGCCATGTAGTCTCATCCATCAATGAATAAATTTTACCCGTTAATTTGAAATTTGCAATAGTAGTCTTGCCAATGTGTAGTGTTGCCATTTGTCACGGTTGTTAGAGGTTAGAGATTGAACACAATATGATTCATCAAAATCATGACCCCCCCAACATTTAACCATTGGACATAAAAATATTAATTCAGCCACTGACTGGACTGGACTGAGTCAAACAGTTAGAGGGAACTTGACTGAGTTTGAGGTTCTAGTCGTACATTCAGTGGTGTTTATGTAGCTTCTGTATTTCCATAGTTTGTACAAAACATAGTCAAATAATGAACTATATGAATTAAATAAAATAATCTTGTGACTTGTAACTATTCTTAATGTTACTAATAATCAACTTCAGATAGGGAAATATGGTTTTAAGGTAGTGTAAGGATTTTGTTGAGTCAAATAAATCATTTATTTGATCCAGTCGTTATTAAGCTTGCCTTCTGTCTTCTGCTTGAAGATGGTGGAGCAAGTTGTGTCGATGATTGCACCACTCTATCAGCTGACGTTAGTGACGACAACTTAACCAACTAACTCTGAAATAATCATCCTATAGCCTACTATTGATAATATTTTATAATAAATATGCCCTTTCAAATAGCCTTAAGTGAAACACTGATCATGGTTGACAATTTGAATTTTCTAAATGAGTAAATAAAAATATAACCCATTAACTTGGTACCGAATGTATCAGTACCGACATTTCACCATCGATTCTCGGTCCCAGTACTTTTCCCAAGAACCGGTGGAACCGACATTTGACGTTAAGTACCGACCCATCACTAATTTCAATCTTTCACATTCATCTAGATGTAGATCTAGATGTATCCAAGTGATTCAAGTCCTTGTTTTGTAATACAAGAGTCATTGGGCAGATGTTGAAAGAAATTTAAGCCATCTTGACAGTTTTAAACCAGACCCAGTTATTGGCTTGGCCTTAAAAATTGTTTCATGATAGACAATAATCTCATTAATTATTTGCTTTCTTTCCCCGTCACCTAACTGTGCACTCCAGTGTGTTGGTGTCATTTAAAATCAAATCTTCCTTTGATTTACAGTGGTGCAAACACACTGGAGTGCACAGTTAGGTAAGGATGTGCAGATATCTGAAAAATTGGTCGTATTCGGCCCAAATTTCATATCCAAAACTATCTGTTAAATATCTGACTGTTTCGGATAGACTATGTATTTTGACAATAGACAATAGACAATAGACAATAGACAATGTTCTTTATTTACATATTCGTGGGAGAATAGTACATGCGTCAACTATTCGCATGTTAACTAGTTATTATAAATTGCTCATAATCTACAAGTAGATACCTGTTGTCTTCAAACATGTCAAACACTTAACATAACTTCCTATACAAAACTATTTTGTTCTTCACACGATTTATTGCTGTACAACGTTTGTCAAATTTTTTGTTAAGTTTAAGTAAGCTATGAATTTAAACTTCAGTTTTTATAACTAAACCAAGGTTAATGACTTACAATATCACAATTTTTTTAAATATAAAAATGCAAATTATAACTTCTTAACCTTATTAACTAATATTTATTTATTGAATACTTCAACTCAAACTATCCGAATCCCAAAATATCTGAATCCGAACCTCTAATTATCTGATCCGATCCGAACCAAACCTTAACTAAATTACCAAATTCAATCCGAACTGAAATTTAACTATCCGCACACCTCTAATGAAGATACAAACAGATTTAAAGTTGATATTTGGTAAAATGTACTATTAAGTATATTTCATTGTGTGCGCTGTAATCTATGCCTTCACACAGAATGTTGTATTCATGGTCCAGGCCAAACTACAAGAAGGTGTTTGAGACGGTTAGATGTGCTAGCAGAGCTGGATCTCTAGGTAGTGACAGTACGGCTGGCAGCAGCCCTGGGCCAGGACCAAGGTATCCCTCCCTTGGGATTATTCAACCTCTCACTTCATCCTCCACTCATCGGCCAAGAATGTCCTCCAGGTAGAAACCACTCTAAAGAAAAATTATGTGGAGGGGAGGTTAAACAGTTGGCTTGCCTTACTGTCGAAAATAGTAGAAAATACAAATAAAGATAGCATTTTTGTAATTGCTAGCTCCTTCACAGTTGTAGAGTATTTGTTCTTGTTGTAAATGTAGGTTCTGGTTGTGGAAGGGAAAAAAAGAATAACCTTTCTAAGTCTATAAGTCGCTTTAAGTCACTATCACTGGTTTATGGTTCACAATTGAATTAAACGTCAGTACAAATATATACAGTACAAATATACAGTACAAATGTACAGGTACAAATATTACTCCTGATATCTGATAATGAGAAAAAGTAAAACTAGTCTATAAAGCTAAAGTATTTACGTTGCCAGCCAACTAAGAAAGGCTTGTTTGTATGATTCCAGTTACCTTCCGCCCAGAAGACTGTCCAGGCCGGCCCTAGACTCGGCTGGTGCTAGTGACTCTGAATGTTCAGACACAGAGTACTTAAACATGTAAGTTTATTGTTTGGTTCCCTTGAAATTCATAATTTATGTAGGGATGGTCAAGTCTCGAAATTTCGGGAAATTTTCGGGAAATTTTCAATCTCGTTACACGAGACGAGATTACTTTTTGGCCGAGATTTTTATCGAGACGAGAATAAAAAAAAAAAAAAAAAAAAAAAAAAAAAAAAAAAAAAATTAAAAACGCCTGCAGAAAGTTAATGCAATACCCCCAATACAGGAGCGTGTTGTAGTTGCGTTTCCTTTTCGAAGGCGTTCTTATTTAATTAATTCTTTTAATGTAAATATTACTTTAATTCTTTTAATGTAAATATTACTTTCATTATTTTAATAATATTACTTTAATAACATTTGAGAAGTTTTGTTAAGTGTAAGCAGTGTGAGGAATGTTTTATTACTATACAAAAAGTCAAAACAAGTAACTATTTTATAAAAATTAATATTGCTTTTATTTTATGATTTATTTTATTTTATGATAAGTTGAACTCTATCCTAACTGATATCACCATGTTTCCTAATCGTAGGCATTTTTTATAAGTTAGGCGTGATTAATAAAAAAATGTTATGCTGATGTTATTTAATGAAAGATTGTAAATATTCTTGCCTATTATCATTATTTTAGTATTTAAACAGTCATCTAACAATGTTACAAAATCAGGTAAAAATTTCGAACGTGCATTTCCCGTTGTGTATGAGAAGAGAAATCTCATCTCGATCTCGTCTCGAAATTTTATGAGAAATAAAAAATCTCGTCTCGTCTCGTCTCGAACTAAAAATCCAATCTCGTCCATCCCTAAATTTATGTTAAACTGTGTTTTGTGCAACAAGGCAGTTTAAATACCTGATTTTTGTTGCATTTCTATCAATAATTTGTTAATACTTCCCCTGATCAATTGAAAAAAATGAGGTTTGACAGCTATATTGTGGAAACATTAAGATAGGCACCAAGGATCATGTTGATGGGAAGTAATTAGCAAGGTGATATTGTTTGTTTGAGGCCACCCAGTGGTGCAGGGACAGCCTCTCCCCATGAGTTGGAGGCAGCACTGAGAAGGTTAACGCCAGGAGCAGTGGCAGCGCGACGGGCGGCTCTGGGCGACCATGAGGAGTGTAGGACACCAGACTCCATCATGAGTACAGGCAGCAGCGGACTAGGCAGCTGGCGACTACCTGACAAGCTCCAGGTAACTGCTACAGTGTACAGTGTGTGTAGAAAAACTGTGGTGTGACCAGTGTTGCCAAAAACCGGGTAATTACCTGTTAAAACATGTAACAGGCATGCCTAGGCCTAGCTTTAACGACGTGACTGGCGGGAGTTAACGTCTAGACTGCCGGGCACTATGGTCGGTGCGCCTTATCAGTAACAGGTTGTTTGTGGGTTTCATTCTTCTCCCTCTCCCTTTCCATTATTTCTATTGTAGTGTTGTAAATAAAATTATATGCAAATGAAAGCTTATCGTTTAGAACGTTTTGTTTGTCTGATTTGACTGCCTTATAAATTTTAAATTCTTCTAGCGTGTTGATCTGAAACTTGTTTTTATTAAAATGTAGAACAGTCATGTTATCGTTGATATTGGAATAGCTATGGTTGTTTGTGATTATATGCTGTGCAAAAGTTTAAATGTTTTTATGTTATGTAAATTATTTGTGAGTTGCCTCATTTGATCTTAAGTAATGGAACAACTCTAGTGCCAACAAAACAGACGGTTATTAACCATTGTTTTTTATGTGTCTGTGTAAAAATGTATTTATGTTCTAAATTGTACAATAAAGCACATTTTCATTCATTCATTCATTCATTCATAAATTATTTGTGAACTTTGACGACCTTCTGAAGAAGTGACAATGTCCTTTGAAAACCTGAAGAAGGTTCCATTGTGAGCCGAAACTAGTTGTTACACAACCACTTATATTTAGGGTGCTTTGGAAATCAATAAGGGAATTTTTGGGTAGTATCCCAGTTTTTAGGCTGTGCGGGGATTATTAACGTCTGGTAGGGTAAAAGCGGGGATTATTAACGAGATGTGCGGATAATACCAAAAATTTGGTCGGGCAACAATAGGTGTGACTAAAGCAGATCGATGATTTTTATTATATGTACTGGACTATGCTTATTAGATTTACATTTAAAATGTACAGTAAACAAGTTTCCTGGTTCTGTGGGGATTTGTGAATTTAAAAAAGGGGTTTTGTGATGACTGTAACAAAATAAAAACTGAGTTGAGTTAAGACAAGGCTTACCAAAGAATTCATGATTTACCTCATATTATCACTTTTAAAGCACAAAGTAAAAGTTTACTTGTCTGTATTAGAGGTGTTTGAACCTGAGATATTTGGGACAAACTAAGCTATATTAACAATGTTACTTATGTGTTTACTTTTAGTGAAGTAAATTTTATGTAATAAATAAATTTGTAACTAATTTTCTTTTCAAAATACTTTAATGGAATGACCTATTTAGACAAGCAGGATTGAATCTAGTAACTATAAATGTGGTGTAATGTGCATCTATCACAATTTTATCGCGGTAATAACGTTATCACTTCCCATAGTCGTGTAGACATCATTACTGTCTCCCGCAGTATAAAAAAAATTCTTCAATATTTTTTCCGCAGTAAGAGAAACATCATCATCTTTTGGGATGCACAGCAAAAATTTTTTACATTTCCCGGGGTCATCATCATAATCCTCCACGATCGTGGCAAAGTCCTGAACATCACCTGTGAATGATAATGTCTTAAAGAAAGACATCATCATAAACATCCACGATTGAGACAAACACCTGGACATTTACTACCATTGTGTAGATATCATCATACTTTGAAACGTTATCGTCATCCCTCGAGATTGTAGGAAGATCCTGAACATCTCATGCAGCTGTGTAGACATTATCGTAACAAGTGAGCACAGTAAAATATTCAAAATCTCCCTCAGTCACGGAAACATTATCATTGTCATTGCAGATCACAGAAAAATTCTAAATAATCCTCAACTATTCCTTGGTCGTGAGGACATGACCATTCTTTCCACCTTTGCGGCATAATATTGAACAATTCTCGCGGTGGCAGGGATATCTATGTCGTCTCCCACAATTACAGAAACTTTATCGTCTTCATCTCAGACTGTGGTATTAGTGTGATTTTTCGTGCAATATTTGCGGAAACGTTCTGCAATCGTGATTGTATTGTGATCGTAAAAGCTCCACTCGAGCTCGACTTTTGAACTATGCGTTTTATCTTTTGAGCTTGTAGGCTGATCTTGTCTCGTCTCAAAAATAGAGCGGCTCACACACCTATAGTCTAAACACTTGACTTTAGATAGAAGTATTATGTTACAAATTGTAGTGATTTCTTTTATTGCAACTGTGAATTATTGATCAAGACTTGGAAATTAAAATGTGTTTGCATAACATTGGATCATATTTTTTTCTTCCCACATTATATTATTACACTATGAAAATCTATCCCGGGTTCAAATCCCACAAATCACCAATGTACTCGTATTTTATCCATGTGTCTTGTGGCTATTATATAGTGAACATACTATTTGTGATAATTACAGACCAATCCCTGATAGCAAATCAATCAGTCTCAGTATTTTATTCTGATGATATAGACTAGGGGTTCCCAAACCTTTAAGTGCCACGCCCCCATCGCCCAAGGCTAGCATACTATGCCCCTCCCCTTCAGTAACTTTGTAAGTAAAAAATATATTACAATGTAAACAAAACATGTATTTTGACCATCACATATAAAATATTATCAAATCAAATTGCTGTAGCTACTCACATAGTTTGTGTGTTGTTTGGATGTTATTAAACAGTATTTTAATAATCTACAAATTTTATATACATTGTTATAAAACAAAAAAATAATATAAAACTATTTGAAAAAATAATCACTGAAACATTTTATAAAAAAATGTAATTGTCAATCTGTCTTAGGCTCGCTCCCCCTCTGACAAAGCTTCGCCCCAATTTGGAAACCCCTGATTTAGACTATTGATAAATCTCAACATTTTACAGTTTAGGTTTTGTTTGTTTTACTTTTTTGATTAACTATTTTATTCTACCAGTAATAATTTAACTTTTAATGTATTTGATTGCAGATAGTAAAACCAATTGAAGGGTCGATGACACTACATCACTGGAGCGAGCTAGCCACTCCGTCCCTGGGTGGGTTGTTGGAGGAGAGACCTGGGGTGAAGATAAGGGGAGGGTTAGAGCTAGAACAGCTGGGACTAGAGCTGTACACATTGTCTGACCTAGAGGAAGATGATGAGGTATGTATGCTAAAAATGGTAATAGGTGTGATAAAAGTAATACACATTGTTTTGTCTACTACTTTGTTTGTTTCTCATTGTCCAGATCATCTTCTAATTTATGTAATTTTTACCACCTGTTGTGAATGAATGTACAATGAATTAATTAAAATATTTATAAATCAAATCTTTAATAATTACTTTTTCTTTGAAAAAGCTTATAATTTGTGATATGAAGAGTGTTTGGAGATTTGTTAGCTAGCTGGTAGTATGTATATTAATTTAATTCAGCTTAAATTCTTAGTATTTTTTGTTTAAGGAGAGCAGTGTTTTGATAAATGTTACATGTCAAGTTTCAGTTATAAAAAAATCATTTTAATAGCCCCAATGCTGTAATGTTCACTTATCTACAATACATGTCAGCAGTGCCAATGTTGACAGGTAAGGTTTGTATGTTGATATTGTTTTACAGTAAATACTTAAATGCTTTTAATAAAATAGACCTAAACTACGTTTCCTTATTAAAACATTAGATGGGTGGTGTTTTCAGGTGTCACATCCGGGCAAGATGTTCCAAGACACAGGCAGTGTGTACACGTTCACGAACAGCACAGTAATGCACCCTGACGACACTACCAGTGTCACTAACAGGTAACTGAGACAGACAATGTCATGTGACAATACTCTCCTAAACTATTCATCAACACCTTCCATCCAAGACAACCTTGACAGACAATCCAGCTAAAGGTGGCACATAATTGACCTTGGTCTTACTTTCCCTGCAGTATTCAGGAAATGGCTCACTAATTTTTATGATTTCTATATGTTGTTATAGAGAGCATGATTATTGTGGGCTACTTATAAAGTGTTTGGGTTATGTTTTAGAATGAATTTGTTAAAGAGAGTCTATTGCGCTCACAGAACATGTGATTTTTTGTATCCGGTTTGATTGTCCCAGCCAGGTGTGTAATATCATCTGAATCTACATATAAACTGACTGATTGAAAGGAGATTAGCTTTTTAACATTAAATAAAAATACCCCCGCCATAGCAAACCTACAGACTAAGCAAATTTCCATTTGCTTGATAGGATTTTAAATTAAATCTCTTAAAATAACATTAGGTTTAACAAGTACCTGGGTTTGCTGCTACAGGGAGGGTTTAAGTGATTTTCTTGTAAAAAATTAATAGCTTAGTAGGTATCAAATAAATAAATTTGCCAAGTTCGATCAAAATATATATATAAACAAGCAAACTACAACATTTTAAATATTCTCCATAAGAATAACATGGGATATTTTCATAAAAAATGTTTTGAATATTTCCATAATTAATAACTGTACATAAACACTTTGATATATTCTAAATGATTTGTTTTTTTTAAGCTCTCTGAAAAGGTCTAGAGAGAAATTTACTGTTTTGAGGGTAAACAAATTAGAAACTCCAATTTTTACCCCTTAAAAACCCCGTTCCCATGGTCCGATCGTGTTGGTTTGCAAACTCATTCAAGTTTATCATGCCTTACACCGTAAAACCAAATTTCATCAAAATCAGACAAAAATTATTCAAGTTAAGGCGTTTACGGACACATATATAGATCTATAAACATATAACATTTTGACCGGATGGTGTTTTTGACCTCTGGGGACATCAACATGAAAAAGTAAATCGGTCCCGAACCTAGGACTTACTATGAGACCTAACTACTTCCCTATAGGGAAATTCGCTAAAAGGCAAGTATGAACACTTAAGCTCAATAATCTTTGAGCTTTCTAAGTGTTCTTACAATACTGTAGACAATTTTCCATTAACAGTCAAGGAGTTGGAAAATCACAGGAATATAAATAGAATTAAAATTTACATGAAATAATCTTCCTCCAAACCACGTCAAAGACTACTAAAATATAATGAAAGTGACCTCTTTGCCATTTCAAACCCACACTTATTGAATGTTGGTCTAAAATACTATTTTCAATTTAAATCACTATATTCAATAGAAGAGTTTTGGAAATAAAAAAATTAGAAATATATTATGTTGTAATTTGTGTTTGTTATCATTTATGATACTTTAACCTAATTTTAGCGAATTTCCCTATAGGGAAGTAGCTATTACCGTAGTTTGCATGGTAAGACCTAGGCCCGGGACCGATTTACTTTTTCATTTTGATGTCCCCAGAGGCCAAAAACACCATTCGTTAAAATGTTTATATATGTATATATATATAAATATATGTGTCCGTGAACGGATAACTTGAGTAATTTTTGTCCGATTTTGATTAAATTTGGTTTAAAGGTGTAAGGCGGGATAAACTTGAATGAGTTCGCGATGATGATCGAACCATGGGAACGGGGTTTTATGGGTAAAAATTGGTTTTCCTCATTTTTGACCCCCTAAACACAAAATTTCCCAATTTCTCTCTAGACCTTTTTTTAAGAGCTTAAAAAAAATTATTGGTAACAGAGAAAATTCAAAATATTGAAAATTAAAAATTCTCATGTTATTCTTATGAAGAATATTGTAAAATGTTATAGTTTGCTTGTTTATGGATATATTTTTATCAAACTTGGCAATTTTATTTATTTTATACTAAGCTATTAATATTTTACTAGAAAACTCACTTTATTAGTTCCCTTGTTTTAGCACACCTAGGTACTTGTTAAACCTAATGTTAAATAGATTTAATTGAAAATAATTTCAGACAAATGTAAATGCGCTTAGTCGGCAGGTTTGCTGCGGCGGGGGTATTTTATTTTTATTTTCCTTTTTGTGACACATTTCCTGTTAAAATACTTTCACGAATGAAGATGATTTGTCTTATATTATATTGTTTTTTATGTTTTCTTCAACAACTATTCGGTCACATAAATTATATCCTGGTCTTTAACCGACTTATTCACCCAAATGTGTTGTAACTTAGGATGGGTGACATAGGGAATCCAATCCCGGATGATATTTTGAGTCGCAGGATTACGGGACTGAGACAAGTCAATCCCGATAATGTTTTTGGCCTCATCACTAAAATGGACATCTATAATATTAAAACGAAACAGTGTTTTTTTATTTCACGATTCTGAATCAACCACTCGACTGATTTTCATGATTTTTGTGTTGAAAGAAAGATCATTTTGAGAACTAGGGAATGTTTGAAGCCATAATTTTAGTTTAGGGTTTCAGTTTTTTAGAAATTAAGTTTTAAATTTTAAAAAGTCTAGCAGCCGACACTAACATTCTACTCTAGCTTTTGGTATAATACAATTCGCTTAACTTAACAGCTGTAAACATTCAGCGTTTGATACACAAATTCAGAATTTGGATGAAATTAAAAGACATACTCAGGGTTGACTTATTTATACTATGTGTAATGCTAATCATTGATACGTTCAATCCTTCGATAAGAGGATGACGAATTATTTAAATTTACATAGTAAAATACTAGGATGTTCAAATTATTTTTTTAAGTAATCTTTGTAATCTTCGGTTTGTTTTAGTGCAATATAATTTGTTTTAACAAACAGCTGGTTAATTATAAAAATGCCCTATAGAACTATGAGGTTATTTACTCTTATTTTGTCATTAATTATAGGAATTAGTAGACCACCGAGATAAGTAACACCATCGATGTGTACAAGTCAAGGCTCTGTACACGAGTTTAAAAAAAAAGATATGCAAATTATTTTACTGCTCAACTTATTTGGAAAGGGTAGGAAAATCACAATTTTTACATGTTTTAAACTTGGCAGCTTTTTGTTTACAAATAATGTTTTTGAATGATTGAACTTTGTTTGGATTAGGCCCGGAAATATTGATGTCATAAAGATGGAGATCAAGAATCCTCAAGAATACGATTTTAAATTACCATCACAACCTCTGACGGGTTTTATCCAAAGATATACAGATGAATGACATAGATTGAACACAACGTCATCATTGACCTAGGATACTGCATTAGACTAACCATCCTTTTATGAAATCTAAAAAGTTGTTTGGCGTGTGTTTGGTTGTGGTTACGTTTGGAGGCGCTGAATATTTTATAGTTTAAAGAAATGAATATGGGGAATTACGATGTACATTGATTCAATGAGGGTGGTTTAATTATCAAGGATATTAGAACAACTGATAACGGAATGGATAATAAACATAGACAATTAATTACGTCACTAGCTTTACTAGCGTTTTTACTTTTTAAATTCCTTCAACATGTGACCAGTTCTTTTGTTCAAATGAATATTATTTTATTTTTGACTCATCTGTTTACAAAACAAACTAATATGTTGTTGTGTTTACTTTTCTTTGTTTACACTTATTTATTTAGCAATTGATGCAGTGAAATTGACATAAAGGATGTGTGTCGACGATTCGTTTGATGATGTCAGGACACCAACGTTATAATTATGTGTACTGTGAAATTTATTGGATGTTTTCGTTTTATTTTAGGGATTTTCAATTCAGACCTACTGGAAATTGTGTATAGTATGAGTAATTGCATTGTGATGATATTGATTATGGAAGAGGCAGGTATGCGATGGAAGGTTATATCATTGACTAGGCCTATACACTTCTCAATTGATAATTACTCTTTCTACTGTAGGCTGCAATAAAATTTGTCTTTATACGTGTAAACTAGCTGTTCTGAATTATAGGCCTTCACAGTTTTAACTGACTACTCCCGTACATAGGACGGGCTAACACCTCGTTAAGTAATCAAATAAATTAACACATTCAACAATATAATGTTTACGAGGTGTTATTCAGTAGTCAGTTAAAACCGTGTACAATTCAGATCAGCTAGTTTACACATATAAAGACAAAGTTTCTTGCAGTTTTAATGTGATAAATCATCTTGTAAACAAATGTTGTGTGACCAAATATGTTTTTATTCCATCATTATATATACCTGATATATATACCTGATACGGCCTATACGATATGCATTTTAAATCCGATAATTTTACAATAAAACAGCAATTCTGGAATTTTTATGATGTGAAAAGCGTTAAAGTGAGGCAGCCGATTCGCACAGACGCACAATGATTATAAGTAGCCTACAGTCACAGAATAGTAGTATGTTTTCTGTGCTACAGTAGAGAGAGTAATAGTCAATTGAGAAGTGTATAGACCTAGTCAACGATACTACCTTCCATAGCATACCTGCCTCTTCATTAATTATTATCACCACAATACACTATACACAATTTCCAGTAGGTCTGAATAGAAACGACCTAAAATAAAACGATAATATCCAATAAAATTCACAGTACACATAATTTAACTTTGGTGTCCTAACAGCTTTGGGCCTAATCCAAACAAAGTTAAAACACACAAACATAATTGTAAACAAAAAGCTACCATGAAGAATTAAAACATGTAAACATTGTTATTTTTCTAATCTTTCCTTGAAAAGTGGAGCAGTAAAATAATTTGCATTTATCCTTTTTTATTAAGACTCGTGTAAAGCGTGTAAGCCTCGATTTGTACTGTGGTTTAATTAATTTTAGTCTAAACTATTTTAAACTGTGGTCTAATTATCTCTACTAATCTTACTTATTTCCTATAATCAATGACAAAATAAGAGTAAATAAAATAACCTCATAGTTCCATAGTTTATATTTAACCAGCTGTTAGTTAAAACAAATTATATTGCTCTAAAACAAATCGAAGATTACAAAGATGGCTTTAAAAAATAATTTGAACATCCTAGTATTTTACTATGTATATTTAATTAATCTGTCATCCTCTTACAGAAGAATTGAACGTATCAATGATTAGCATTACACATAGTATAAATAAGTCAACCCTAAGTATGTCTTTAAATTTTTATCCAAATGATGAATTTGTTACACAAAAGCTGAATGTTTACAGCTATTATGTTAACCAAATTATTTTATGGTTTATGCCAAAAGCTAGTTTAAAATCTTAGCGTCGGCTGCTAGACTTTTTAAAAATTAAAACTCAATTTCTAAAAAACTGGGACCCTAAACTAAAATTATGGCTTCGACATTCCCTAGTTCTCAAAATTATCTTTCTTTCAACACAAAAATCATGAAAATCCGTCGAGTGGTTGATTCAGAATCGTGAAATAAAAAAACACAGTTTCGTTTTAATATTATAGATTTATTTATATATTAACCAAAATAATCTTACAAAAAGGTTTATGAAATACTAATCTTTGACTCAAAGCTAGATTTAAACGATAGCCATACAAAAAAAATATAAATTTTACTTGGTTAAGTAAGTTTAGAAGAATAAAAACTAAACCATGCGTAGAATAAGAAAAAAACAAACAAGTTTTATAAAAGAAAATTACAATGAAAAAAAACAAAGTTTAAAAAAACGAAATAACTGTTGCAAACTATTAAAACAAGCTGAAAACGATTTGTATTGTATTTTAGTTTTATACTGTGTTTGGGCAAGCAAGAGTGTTCTCAATAACAAAAACAAACACGAAGGAAATGAACTCAGGGTGAATTTGGGGGAAGGGGGAGGGGTATGTTTAAAAATGGAAATGAGAACCATAGGGTCTGAAGTTCACTGATAAGACACCGGCAGTGTTTATGTGCATGACTAATTATAATCGGTTATTATTTTATCATTAATAGTATAATAGAACAGGGGAGTGTTGCACCCAATGATATATGTCAGTGTCATAATGTCCAAAATATAATTTTTAGCTGTTTCATAACGTGCAATATAAAATATTTGACTGTTGCACGACGTCCAAATGTCACAACGTCCATGATATACGAGGCATGTTTTTTAAGTAAGTACCGTTTTAAAATTTCTCCGTTCCAACACTGCGTTTGGCTTTTTTGACATTTGTGCTGTGTATGGGCATCTATTGGTAAGACCTAGCCGGAAATTCAAGAACAATCGGCCTAGTTTACATCCGGTGTTGAGCGTTCAAAATGGTGCCGCCAATTGAGACTGCCGCCGGCTGTGATGTGCGCGCTGTAATTAGATTTTTAAGTGCTAAGGGTGAGAAAGCCATTGAATATAATCGACAGATTAATGAAATGTATGGCGAGAACATTATGATTGACGGAATGGTACGCAAGTAGGTAAGGGCATTTAAGACGGTCCCACCATCGTTCATGACCCCGTAACGCACTGGGCAAGACCCCACTACGGGGATAGTGATGACGCCGCCCAGTGCGTTACTCATCATGAACGTTGGTGGGACCATATTTAAATGTTCTTATCCACTTGCGTAACATTATGGCACTCATAATGTTCTCGCCATACACTTTACTAATCTGTTGATGATATTCAATGGCTCTCACACCTTTGGCACTTAAAAATCTAATTACAGCGTGCACATCACAGCCGGCGGCAGTCCCAATTGGCGGCACCATTTTGAACGCTCGACACTGGATGTAAACCCGGCCGATTGTTCTTGAATTTCCGGCTAGGTCTTACCAATAGATGCCGATACACAGCGCAAATGACGAAAATGCCAATCGCAGTGTTGGAACGGAGAAATTTCAAAACGGTACTTACTTAAAAAACATGCCTCGTATATCAGTGTCACGAAGTCCAAAATATAATTTTTGAGCTGTTTCATTATACGTCGTGCAATACATCCATAGAACAAACTTACGTTAATCTGTATATTGTGATTATTTGATTTATAACTTAATTTAGCTGTAATTTATAAGTAAATATACCATTATAGATATAAATATGGTTATACCTGTAATTTAGCTAATCCCGAAAATCCTGGGATTAGGCATGAGAATCTGGGGGTTGAAAATGCTCCAAATTCGTCCGGGATCCCGCCATTGGATTCCCTTGACAGTCTTGTGTATAGAAGTTCCTCCAGTAGATAAAAATGTACACTCTCAAGGACAAAATGGAAATCAATTTCTGGTTTCAATACTGCTATGATCTTCAACCACAAAAAAAAACATCTGTTATTTACCTAATATGTGGGGGACACAGAAAGGATTTTCTCAAAGATAAACCTGTCCCAAAACTCTTACCCAAGGTCAACAAATTTAAATTAAATTTAAATGTTTTTTAATGTATTTTAAATTGAAATTACATAGCCTACTTTCAATGTAAATGAACGATTCACAAATGTATAAAGTGTTATTTTTGTTTGTGTGACAGCTACCGAGGCAGCCAGATGTGTACGGCTGTAAGCAGTAGAGTATCCAGTGTGGTACCTACACCTGTGGCCCGCTCCAGACGAAACTCCACTTCTACCTTCTCGTCGTCTCTAGGACTTGCTAAAATGTTGAATGAGAGAGGCATTAAGGCTGTTACTCCATCGACTCTCCCCACTCCCATGTTCAGCCCCACCGCCACTCCGGCCAACAGTCCAGACCACTCCCCAGACCACTCCAGGTCACCATCACCTTCCCCCACGGCAACATACTCTCCACTCGGTCTTCCAGGTAAAACATCTGGTGACATGCAAAAAAACAAACAGTGTAAAAAATAACAATGCCCATTTAGAAGCAGTTTTGCAATAGGCTAGTTAAACCTTTTATTTAGCACTGACTGGCTGACCTAACTTACCTGTTAGAGCCTTATTATGCGCGGCCACTCTAGTGGCGCGCGACCGCGACTGCTCAAACGCCACTTTTAGCGGGCCATGTTATCATATGGAGCTTATTAAGTGACGCGACTGCGGTGGCGAGGCACCCTCGCTACTAGTCGCTAGTCCACGCGACTGTCGCGTCACCAGCGGGCCATGTTATCATATGCTGTTTATTACGCGCAGCCACAGTCGCGGGCCACAGCGGACTCTACTCTAAAGACTTTCATTTGAGATGTTGGCCATTTGAATCGGTTATGATACTGTCCATATTACCATACCATGTATTACCATTATTGTGAATTTTATGTTGACCCGGGCAACGCCGAGTTTTGCTGCTAATATTGTATTAATATTATGATTATATCAAATCAAAACCATTATAATATTTAATTTAAGGTAAGTGCTAGCCTCTCCTTAGCTGAAATAAAATTATCCATCTTCTTATGCGATACGTATAAGTCGCCTTCTATGCTTCCTAAAATGTTATAAAAAGAACGTCTTGTCTCCCGGAAACAACCAAAATACATCTTGTCGTCCTCTCTGAGATCATCAAATAAAATCTGAAAAATACCCCTGAAGGTCTTACTTTTTTAGTAACGGATTGCCTCCCAATACTTTTGTTTCATCTACGTTTAGGATGCTCAAGTAAAAGCAAAATAAATAGTTACTTACTTACTTACTGGAGTGGCCACTGGTACCCTAAGAAAATAAATAGTTAAGCTTCTTTTATTCACGCTGAGAAACTACATGTATGTCTGTAAAAAATTTGGTCAGACGCTTGACCTCGCCACACTTGTCGCTACCCCTACCCACACCTGTGGCTACCCCAAGCGACTAACAGTCGCGCGCGACTCGAGTGGCCGCGCATAATAAAGGCTCTTAGCTGGTCAGAAAATTCTTGCCCGGAGTACCAGAGCTAAAATCGATCAGGAGGTAGGACCCCTCTTCTCCACCGTCCTCCATCCCTTTCATTCCATCTCTCTAGGTAAGTTTTGTTAAAAAAAAACTATTAAAATACTACCAAGCATCCGAGCAATGAACACACTCTTTAAAATTAGTTTAACACTTTATTTTGTTTGCTCTCTAATTCTCAAATATCCTTGATTTGCGGTAACTAAGATTTAACTGTTCCATTGCATCAAATTGATCAAAATAGTTGTCCACACTGAAATTGATATTGCACTATAATATGATTGACCCAACATAATATATGTTGTACAGGGTTCCTAATGAGCAGTGGTGCAGAGCTCCTGCGTCGCACCCTGATGGGGTCTGTTTCGACACCTAACAAGTCTGAACACGCAAGCCGCAGTCGCAAGTCTGGCGCAATGGCCCGCAGACCTCTCAAGGTGGGTCTCTGCGTTTTATGTTGCAAAAACGCCCAACACCCGCCACCAATGCGGCGCAGGCTGCTCATTTGAGTTTTACTTATATCAGGTTTTTATGTTTTTATTATCTTTCGGGTAATTTATTTTGGGTTGGTGTGGTGAGGGGTTAAGGTTTGTTCTGGTTGATTTACTTTCTTCTCAAGTTGATTTTAAAAGTTATACATTTACTTTTGTATTAATGAATTTTTCTATTTTACAAATAATGATGTGTCGATAGTCAATACCAAAATGTATCAATTCCCAATACCATTATTTTTATAGTTTTGCCAAATTTCTGAATGGATTCGTTATACCCACTACCCTTACCTCTGTCTTTATATCCTTCCATAAAATATTTTTTAGGTAATAGGGTGTTTTACAAGTAAGAAAAAATTTATGTAACGATTACAAATTCTAAATAACCAATTTTAAAGTTTAACCAAGTTTAAACCCTTCTAAACACAATAAATAACTACCATGTCTAAGATAAATGACAAACTAACCATAAAAATCAAAAATAAAATATTATTATAACTAGAGGTGTGATGGCCTGATATTTCCAGTCAAGCCAAACTGGAGGTAATATCGTGATCATCTCCTGCAGTCGTGGAGATAACATTGTTCTTCTAGGACCACTGCAAAATCCTGAATATCTTCCTTAGTCACGGAAACATCATCACTGTCTTTTGCAGTCGCGGAAATATCCTTAATATTGCTAAGCGGTAACAGAAACACAATCATTGTCACCCCCAATTATGGAAACGTTATCAATGTCATCGTCATCTTGCACGATCTTGGCAATAGCGGTAATTTTCCGATTGCGCGGCCTGACGAGTATCAGGATGGGAATCGACTTTTGACGATCGATTCTCGATACCTATACCAACGTCCAAGTATCGGTGGTTTCAAGAATCGGATATAAAACACATCCCGGGAATAAACACATCCCTATTTACAAATCCTATACTAAAACAAGCGATGTACAAGCAAACTTTTATTTTCGTCCGAGAATTTTTTATTATTTTGCTGAAAATGGGGTATTTGGCCATGAGAAATTGATTGGAGTTGGTCACAACACTGGGAAAAATCCAGTTTCTGTCATACAGTCCTTGAAAGTGCCAATGTTATCTGGCTACACCTTTTTTAGCAGCAGTTAACAAAAACAGCTGTTACAGGTTATGTTTATTGTCATAATTTGATTTTACGTGCAAACAAAAATAACTCCATTGGTTAGTTTGGGCTAAACATTTTAAATAATAGTTGTATTTAGTTTATTTTATTAGGTCTATATCAGTGTTAAATGTTTTCAAGGTTAATTTTCAAGATTAAAAATTAAATGTGGAAGACATCCGAAGCGAAAATATTTATAGAATCTGCAAGGGAGAGAAGCTACAATCGACTTTGAGAAAAAAAATTTACCTTAATATTTATTTACCTTACAGGATTACAGCAAAATTCTGAATACTCCTCGCGATAATAGAAACATTATCATCATCTTCTGCGATCGCAGCCAATTTATTAACATCTCCCGCGGTTGTGTAGATATTATCATCGTTTTCTGTGATCGCGGGTAAATTATGAGAATCTTCTGTGACCGTCTAGACACACAATCTTCTCTCGCAATCGTGTATACATCATTATCGTCTACCGTCATGGCGGCAAAATTCTGAAGATTTCCAAAGTGTGTGTTATTGTCACCTGGGGTCATGGAATCATCAGCATTGTCTTCTACAATAACAGCAAAATTCTGATCATTTCGTCAAGCAGGAACAAGAAAGTAAACCCGCGGTCACGGATACATTATTGTCGCCTTCGTCGGTCATAGGAATGTCATCATCGTCTTCCACAATCGTGGCAAAAGTCTAAAAGTTTCTGTGGTTGTGAAAGTATCGGCATTGTCTCCGGTGGTTACGGCAAATCCCTGGATAACCCCCGCGTTAGCGGAAACGTCATTATTGTCTTCGACGATCGGGGCAAGATTCTTTTGATTCCCCACGGACGTGTAGAACATCTACAGAATACATCTATAGTAGACCCCCTCTTAACCGACCCTAATGGGACCGGACATAGGTCGGATAGCTCAAAAGGTCGGTTAAAACGGGCAATCCCTAAAATTATAACATAATGAAGCGCTTTTCATTTGGAATTATATAATCATTATTTTGAAGTCTTGCTTGCATTATTTATAAAATAAACTACTCTTATATCCTTTATTGTATTTATTGAAAAGTAGGGATGGACGAGATTGGATTTTTAGTTCGAGACGAGACGAGACGAGATTTTTTATTTCTCATAAAATTTCGAGACGAGATCGAGATGAGATTTCTCTTCTCATACACAACGGGAAATGCACGTTCGAAATTTTTACCTGATTTTGTAACATTGTTAGATGACTGTTTAAATACTAAAATAATGATAATAGGCAAGAATATTTACAATCTTTCATTAAATAACATCAGCATAACATTTTTTTATTAATCACGCCTAACTTATAAAAAATGCCTACGATTAGGAAACATGGTGATATCAGTTAGGATAGAGTTCAACTTATCATAAAATAAAATAAATCATAAAATAAAAGCAATATTAATTTTTATAAAATAGTTACTTGTTTTGACTTTTTGTATAGTAATAAAACATTCCTCACACTGCTTACACTTAACAAAACTTCTCAAATGTTATTAAAGTAATATTATTAAAATAATGAAAGTAATATTTACATTAAAAGAATTAAAGTAATATTTACATTAAAAGAATTAATTAAATAAGAACGCCTTCGAAAAGGAAACGCAACTACAACACGCTCCTGTATTGGGGGTATTGCATTAACTTTCTGCAGGCGTTTTTAATTTTTTTTTTTTTTTTTTTTTTTTTTTTTATTCTCGTCTCGATAAAAATCTCGGCCAAAAAGTAATCTCGTCTCGTGTAACGAGATTGAAAATTTCCCGAAAATTTCCCGAAATTTCGAGACTTGACCATCCCTATTGAAAAGTCACAAATAAACATAAAACACGGTTAAGTCAAATAGGCCTACTTTTAGTGGAATATATTATAATCCTAGGCAAGAGTCAATAAAAATTCCTATTTTAATAACTTTAGTACTGTAATGTATTAATTGATGCTTTCCAAATCCATCGTAATACAGTACAGAACCTTTTGTCGAAATTAAAGATACAAGCAACCATTTTGTTACAAGACAGGATGTTTATTTATAGCCTCTCACTGGAGGCTTGAGGCACAAAAACTATCTTGACCTTGGAGTTGTTAACCCCCCTTCCCTGCCTTCCCTACAAGTTAGTTGTTTGTTTACTCCAGTGATAAGATAATCAGTTCTCAAAATCGTAACACACTTTATGATGTTATAAATTTGCCGCGCAGATTACAGATAACAAATCAGATCAGATGTGAGCTACTAATGATGATGACAAACTGACAATAGGCTATGCTTTATTTTTTGTGATCAATACAAAATAACTTATTCTTAGTCATATCCTGTGGAGATAAGCGTGTGGTTCAGTTCTCATCGCCCAGCGTGGGAGCGGAAACGCCGATATTCCTAGAAAGCGGCGGTTAAACCGAACTGCTCTCAAAACAAGGTCGGTTAAAACAAACTGTATTATTTTACGATTGAAGGCGGATAATCCGATTATCGGTTAATACGAGGTCGGTTAAGAGGGGGTCTACCCCTAGTTTTATAAGGGCCGGTTTCGGAGCTCGGGACTAACGCTATTCCTGGACTAAAATCCAGTTCAAACCAGTTTTTATTCTAGGACTAAAAAATCGGGTTTCGGAGCTCGAGGATTACGCTAGTCAACGACTAAGTCTATTCCGAGAGTTAACTAGTCCCTGACTTACTCTCATGGGTTTCGGAGTCACGGGTTACTTAATCCTCGAATTAAATGTTATTCGATCGGGTTTCGGAGCCAAATATTTAATCCGCAACTGGGCAACAAAGACTAACTCGAGGAATAAATATGAGCAATTTTTAGTCCAGGCGAAGGGCAGGATTAAGGGGTGGACTAACTTAACTTTTGGTGTAATTACTCAATTTGTGAAGTTGTATCTATATAAATGCCAAATTCTTAATCGGCATAAAATTTACTTGCAATTTCATACCTCTTGATATTTTTTTCGTAAAATTTTATTTTTCTCTTAAGAATAAGCAAACCCTTCTTTGAATGAAGCCCGTTTATCTACAATTTATGCTTAAGACTATAATAGGCCAAACGGTCCCTAAAATTAATATTATAAGGTGCTAAACGTAGAATTTAAAATAACAATATAACGATGAAAGAAAGAAAAACTTAACTGTATGAAAAAATTAATGTAGGGCCTATCAAATCTAAATACGTATTTAATACGATTTAACGAGTTTTTGGGGACGTCGGTTTTACCGGAAAACCCGTTATCCGGACTGGCCTCGGTCCAGAGGAGTCCGGATAGTCTACTGTAATGCAATATTTTACTAAAGAATACTTTTAACCAAAACTAACAGTATGCATAACAAAACAAGACTTATGTATTAGTATTATTTTCTATTGAAACTCATACCTAGTATAATAATTTGGAATTTGGGTAAAAAAAAAAAAAAAATATTTCAGCCGTGAACTAACTCGGACAACCTGGATTCTCAGATAACCGGAGCTCAGATGATTGGAAGTTAACTGAAGTTGCTTGGACACCTACTTATTCTCTACTACACATTGTACTTCCAGAGGAATTGTTAAAATACAAAACAATCAGAGAACACAAATACATTCTAAGCAGATAAATTATAACTAGGCCTACTCTTAAATTGTTGTAATAATGATAATTTTTTACGGTTGATTTTCATACAAAGAATAATAAAATATTTCCCTTTATTTTTTATCATCCTACAGTATTCATTTTAAAATAATTGTAAGATCTTAAATAGACAATTATTGGGGTTTGCATTAGGATTACAAAAGTCACAACCAATCTCTAATATCTCAAATGCCTAC